GCCCCGCCGGGCCGCGGCGAGCAAGAAAAGTCGGGGGCGGGGGGGTAAGGGGGTATACCTGCCCGCCGCCCGAGGCCGAGCGAAGCCACCCACCATCGAGGGCTCCGGGGAGGGGCAGTCAGTGCCACGGCGGGGGGGAAAGAAAAGAGAAGCCAGTCAGCGTTTCAGGACTTTACTACGGTCCACAGTAAGAGCAGAGAGGGATTTTTAAATACGTCACAAACCCAAACACATGACAGGGAAATACAAGATTTGCGAACAGTGGCATATTAAGGAGTAGTGTGGCTTCAATGCAGGGCTGACGCAGCTCGGCCGCGGAGCCAGGGTGAGCCTGGGGTGTCACTCGCAGCGTGCCCATGCCCAGTGGGAAGATGGGGAGATGATGGGGCGCAGGCTGTGCTGCAGCCGCTCCAGAGCGACCCGAGGCCAGCAGGGCCACCAGGGTTCTCTGCACTGCTGGCTCCGCCATCACTCTGCCGCCGGTTTCGCTTCCTTGGCCGTTTCCAGTTGCGTCAGTATTTCATTCCACTGGACAAACTGCTTGGAGAGAAGCAGGGTCTGGACATGACTCTTAAGGAAAGAGATACGGAAACTGCAGGGAAGAAGCCAAAGTGAGAGTGGCCTGGCTTGGGAGAGGAAAGCTGTGGAAAGCCTGCAGAGACTCAAACCATCCAGGCACTGAGCCACTGCACAGCACCAAACACCGATGGGAGTCCAGGAACCACTTCCCAATGCTGCACGGCACTGCACTCCAACAGGCTTTCTACAGAAAGAGCAGACCTAACCTACCTCCTGTGGTTTTAGGATATGTCTCAGCACTGGGACCCTACATGGCCAGGATTAGCCACTGTTAGGCTCAGGTGCATTGCAGGGACCAGCAGTCGCCTGACAGAGATGCCAACGTGCCACTGGCCAGCGTGAGTTCTGCATCAGCACGCAGGCTGCGCTGCTCCTTCGTGCGGAGCCGCACTGTGAGCGGATCCAGCACAGGGGCTGTGGCTGGCAGGTGGCACCGTGCTCTTCCCGTCTCAGAGAGAAGTTCTGGCCCTCTCTGCTCCTGAAAGGAGTGTGACAGGGACACAGACGTCACCACGACAGAAAGGGCACTGGCCATGGAACCCAGGGCTGGGGATCACCTGCTTCCAACCATATCTGGTGGGGAATGGCAGCCCAGGAAGCAGGCGGACAGTTCAGTTGTGTCAAGCCCAAGGCTCAAAGGATACCATTTTGTTGTAGTCTTCGAGGAGTGTCTTGACACTGTCGGTGAGATCTTGACGCTGTTCCTGCAAAGAGGGGAGCCACAGTGAGCGAGGAATAGATCAGTAGGACATCTGTCCTCCCAGTCCCTGGCAGCACAGGGGGAAACTCATCCACGGAGAGTAGAGCTCAGAGCCTGGCTGTGGCCACTCATTGCAGCTGTGTTTCAACAGGCAAGAGGAAGGTTACGAACACTGAAGCTCATGAAGCATGAAAGCCCCTGGGCTTGCGCTACTCTTGTCAGCACCCGTGCTTTGCTTGCCCCAGAATGTAAAGTCACAGCAAAATGCTGGAAGGGGGCATGAGGTGCTGCCCAGGAGATTCATCAGCTCCAGGAGCGCTCAAAGACAAGGAGATGGTATCAACAGCCTTCCAGAGACTGGGATACTGGAAGACTGCAACACTTTACTTCAGTGTCCCAGTAAAAAGAGAAATGACAGCTGGTTAAACCTACCACCGCTTATTAAGTGTCACTCAACCCTCTATTTCAAACAGGCTTATGGCAGGCAAAGTGCTTTTCCAGTTCAGACTCAACTGTCAGAAATCCTGGCTGGTTTCTACCCCCACACCCCCTCCCCCAAGCACATCTTTAAAACTGCAGCATGAATATTCCAGACAAGATGCAAAAATAAACCTGCTATAAATAAGCAATTGAAGCAATTGCAAATACAGGGCTGTCAGTACAGCCACTGTCAAACTGTTCCTCCTCCCTGCTAGTCAAAGACTGGCAAGACCATTCACACTACCTGCTGCTGTATGTGGATTTGAGAGAGTCGCTGTAGTTTGGCCGCATGGTCAGGAACCGCTGAAAGCACAGAAGAGAAATCCATTTTGGTTTACATCACGTGGGATTTGTTACCAAAATAAAGACTATTCCTTCTCCACAAGCACATCACAGCAGAACTCCGCTAACTGAATGCAAGCACCACAAGCACACCTTTTTATACCATACAAAACCCCTGGCTACCCTGTATATTAAATTCCAAGTTTATTTGCTAACTGCTTCTGGGATGGTATGAGTTAGGGGATGCCTGCAGCGAGAACCACATCAAAGTAAACTACTTGGATGAACATTAGGGCAAACAATTAAAAAGGCATCTCTGGATGCCAGGAGCAGGGCCGTTCTGGACATAAAAGAGCTCACAGGCAGGAGTGGCTCCACAGCCTGGTGACCGTACACAGTGCTCACCCACATCTCTCCACCCTCTCTGCCAAGCTGCTGTCTCTAACCTGCTTCCCAACCTACTCCGTCACCTCCTTGACCTTGCATGGGATATTAGAGCAGCATGAAGGAGGAGCAGACATTCTTTGTACCTACATTACTCACAGCAGGTTGTGTGCTTAGCTATCCTCAAGTCTAAGGCTCAAGAAAAAAAAAACAACAACAGGATAGGCAACAGCTTCAGGGGTGGCATCTGCAACTCAAACTTGCAGAAGAACATGCATACCTTGGATACTGGTACTGTCCAAGATGGGCTGGAGGTTGTTCACCTGCTCCAGAAGTGCTGCTCGGGAAGGAATAACCTGCTCCTCTGGTTGGGGAGGGACAAGAAGCAACATCAGTAAATGCAAGAGACTGCTTTGGCTTTTCACAAATATTGATGACATAACTTTTTTGTCTGGTCTAGCTATACAGAAAGGGGCTTGTTTATGATTTTGGTTAGACTTTTTTGTTGCTCATCCCTGGACCTTGGTTCCCACCAATTTAAGGCAGGATAATCTCCACCAAATTCCACTCAGTGACTATACCAACACAAGGCTGAACTACATTCTTTGGGGCAAAAGAGAACAAGGCTAGAAGGTGTTTAGAATGCATCCAAAGGTCTTCCATTTTTGTCACAGCTTAGAGAGTATTGGCAGTCGAGTGAGGTAAAGTGTTCTAGCTCCAGTTTTTCTTGTCAACCCTTTATTAATCCAGATTTAAACGGATACTAAATAATTCTAAAACCGATACTAAAAATACTAAAAAGATCAGAACTGACAAAACTGCAGCACGGATGCGAACAAGGGAGCAAACAGTAAGGGTGACAGACATCCTTGTACTAACCATCTCTCTGAGCGCTCCAAAGAGGGCGCCTTGCCAGATCTTTCCAACTAAAGAAATCCCTCCCAATCCAGCTTAGGTAAAAGACAACTTTTGCAGTGCTAAAACACCTCCCCTGTCTCCTCTCATTTCATGCCATACCTGCCAAGATGAACTGCAGCTTCATGGCATCTGGAACAGCCATCCTGTCGATGTACTGAGGGTCGAGGTATTTGATTACATCTTCAACTAGAGTGAAAAATAGGTTTGGAGTCAAAAAGTAGGAGAGGCATTATTGCATTAACAAGTGCAATTTCCCTCCCTCCATGCTGTACATCAGGTTACTTTGTAAATACTGCCCACTTAGTGTGAGTTTTTTTCAGATTCATGAACTTCTGTACCACTTGAAAATATGTGACTTTGGAGCAATGTGACCAAGAACTGACAAATGCCTCAAGCCAAATAACTGCTTCACTACAGACACCCACAACACTTGCTTTTTACTTCGACAATGATATTAACAGTGAGTGAAATCTGTTTCTTCCTGCTCTCAAAACAAAACTACCCAATAACCCTCAATCCTCATCTTTAAAATCATCTACAAATACACCATTTACATTTTTATACTGAACAGCCACCGCAGCCTTGGACCACAACCACCCTCCCTATAAAGATTGCTCCTTCTGCAATACCAGACAGCAAAACTCGGCCAAGAGGCAGCTTTGCAGGACAAAGCAGCACTACGGTGCCCGCTTCCGATATCCCCCAGTTTGGAGGCGGCTCCCCAGATCCATCCACCAGTAGCTGCATGTGATCCTTACTACTCCCACCACACACACAGAAGAGAGTTGCTCTAGCATGCCTGAGAAGTCCAAGCATGCAAGAAGTCATTTCAGGAGCTCCAACAACCCTCGAGGGCTGTATTTCAGGCAGAGCAAATTGCTGCAGTGATATAGGTGGACATCAATCAAACAACAGGCTGCAGTGGCCCGTTTCCCACCCTCGACAGCTGAATGGGAGAATCGCAAGTAGAAAGACCTCACTCAGTTACCGATTTCTCTGCCAAATATGCAAAACAGGAGCCCAAAATAGAAAGGCATCACACGGGGACGGGGGGAATTTTTGTTTAGAGGAGCGATTTTTCGACCCTCCCCCAGTGCCCCCGTAGGCCGCTCACTTTTCTTAAACAGGATTTTGATCCTCTCCCTCTTGCCGGCGATGTTGCTCAGCGCCACCTGCACCTTCACCAGCTCGTCCGCCACCTGCAGAGGCAGAGAGGAAAGGGCCGGGCCTGTCAGACCCC